TTTTTTTTGAGGTGAGTTTTTCTGTCTTGTCATTTTGTCCAGAGGAGAATAGATGAATGAGAGAACAAAATGCTAAAAGGGTAACAATGACCCCAGAAAAATATACACTAAACAAATCAGAAGAGACCCAAAACCGGGGGGAAAAGAAATGGAAAGAAAAAAGAAGAAGAAGAATATGATCAGGCTGGTGAATAGATCAGAGCTACACATTAGATTTTGGATGTATTTTGGTCTGTTAGCAGAAACTGCCTCCCAAAATTTTAAAGAAAGAAAAATTTATAAACGTACAAAAATAAGGGTAAATATAATGAAGGGATTGAATATGACTGTAAAGATGAAAATTATAAAAGATTTTATAAAAGGAATTGATAAGATAAGAAGTTGGTTGAAAAAAGAAGAAAAATTTTTCAAAAGGGTGGGAGAGGATGTGATCAGGCAGGAGACTAGAACAAAGCCATACACTAGAGATTTAGGGTATATTTTGGTCTGTTAGAAGAAACTGTATCCCAAAATTTTAAAGAGAGAAAAACTCATATATATATGTATGTATATATATATATACATACATATATATATACATACATATATATATGTATACATATACATACAAACATAATACAAAAAATACATACATACAAAAAATAAGGTTAACTACAACAAAGGGATAGAATTTGACTCTAAAAATGAAAATTAAAAAAGATTTTTAAAAAAGGAATTGATAAGATGTTAGTTGAAAAGGGAAAAAGAAAAATTCAAAAAAAACAGAAAAAGAAAAAATAAAGAAAATTTTAAAAATTAACTTTGATAGACTAAAGAATCATGGGGGGAAAAGCCATGAATTCTATGTGCTGTATTCCCCTAGTGCTGGAGTTCTGCCATTCTCATTGATCAGTAAACTTGGTCTTGGCTGGCTGTTCCTGCTGATCTTCTGGGGGAAGGGCCTGTTGCAGCGATTCTCAAATGTCTTTGCCCAAGACGGAATTGCACCGCCCTTGTCAGGGGCCAGGTTAGGTTATCTGCTCGGTTTGCTCTCGGTAGCTTTTGTTCCCTGCAAACTTTCCATACAGCTTTGGAGGACGAGAGTGAAAATGGTGGCCTCCCAATCTCTGCCCCAGAGGAGCTGAAAATTCGGGGCCCCACTCCTCAGTGAGCCCCCAGAGAAAAGCAGTCAATCACTCCTTTCTCCCTGGGCTCAGGCCACACTCCATGCTCGCCCAGCCTGTGACCAAGCATTTCTATCTCTGGCACACGACCCTGTTTGGCCTCTCCAAACCCAGCAGATTCCTGGGGTGCAGTCCCATACCGCTCCTCCCCGGGGGAGGAAGGGGAGTCTCCCCAGATCTGCCACTTGTTGGGTCCCTCCTCGAAAATTTGTGTCCTGACTGTGCCCCAGATCATGGTTTATGGCAACCCCAAGCAGCATGTTCATGCCTCCCTGCTCCAAGGAAGCAGAAAAGGTTTTTTTTAATAACATGGTCAACTGCCTATGGCTCCAGGTTCCTTCTAGTACATGCAGAGTCACAGGTTTCAAAACTAAAAAGTGCTTAGAGACCAAGAGCAGATTGTATCAGAGCTGGGATAATAGGCCAAGCCTCTCCCTTCCTGGGCCTCAGTTTACATATCTGTAAAATAAGGCCTTAAGACCAAATGATCTCTAGGGCCCTTTCCAGAGCTAGGATTCTGTGATATTTCTGATGGCCATATTCAGAACTTATTCTGCTCTGTCTGTGCTTCCCTTCAGATGGAATGATGAGACCTCTAGCCCAGCACCAGATAAAGCACCTATGACCTTGTTCTCCCACACCTTGGCACACCACACATCTCCACAACCAATCTTTATGTGTGCACCAGTCCCATGTAACGAGAAAAAGTTCCAACACAAAAGCTGAGGAAAGCTTTTCTCCATGATCAGGATAAATCTCTGAACACTGACTAAGCATTATCTTACTGGACTTCAGAGAAATTTTATATTCTATATCTTATGTGGACAAAAGACCCCCAAGAGCTTCTCACCTATCTTCCTGATGTCACTAGAGTGACAATAGCTTAGGATCCATCTACTTTCAGTTCAGGCTCTTTTTCCTTCTCTCTTGTCATGCTCCAAATCAAGTCAGCGTGGCAAATATGCCACTGATACTTACTGAGCACTGTGAACTATATGAGGTATAAGGAGGCGGGGATGATTCTGCACCTCTCTCTTCCCCTTGACCTGGCCTCAGAGTGAACTTCCCAAAACCCATTTATCTATCTCATCCCCCACCTCACTCATTACTCCCTTCTAAAGAGAGATCTGAGCTTTGATGTAAGCATTTTGTAAAGACTTCAGTAAGGTGGTCTTTCTGTTGGAGGAGTAAATTTTTAGGGCTTGGGATAGGCTCTGAATCACAAATCACCTATTTCAATGGTCTCCTCTGGGGTTTCTTGAATGTCCTCCTCTTCTGCATCCAAGTCAATACGCTCCTCTTTGCTGTTGCGCAGGCTCCAACACAGGCGGTAGAGCTGTGGGGAAAGCAAAACAGGTTGGCAGAAAGATCCAAATAGCATCTCATGCCAAGAAGTTGAGAGAAAAAAAGAGATGTGCATCACTTCCTGAAAGGTGTCAGTGGATGGCTAGTAAAGGCTCTAGAACACAGGGTGGCCAGTGTTTGCTGAATGAAACTCACTAAAAAATAAAAACAACAACAACAAAAAAAGAGGTACTGTGGTCTCTCAGGAACAACAAAAACATAGATAACAGTTTCCATCCACATTATCACTAAATAAGTTGGGCACTTCAATGTAAATTATATACATGAATATACAAGCCCTTATTATAATATTCAAAGACTAAGAGACTGCCTTGAATAAAGAAATGTCTGTCTTGAATGAATGAACTCTTCTTACATATGATAACTAAATTGTTTCTTTCAGCACTATTGCTAAGAATGAAGAATAAATGCCTATTTGTTCAGACCAGCAGTATAAGAGCAGAGATTTATACTATGTGTTTGTCACATTATAAGAAGATAATCTGTAGAATCATGAGCCATATTAGAATAGAGTAGCACTAGAGACAGAGTTTCTATGGACATGTAAAAAGTTAACAAAACCCTTTCTCAGACAAACTATGGAAAGAGGCCAGATGTCCATCGATAGATGAAAGGATAAAGAAGATGTGGTCCATATACACAATGGAATATTACTCAGTCATCAAAAAAATTGAAATCTTAACCATTTGCAACAACGTGGATGGAACTAGAGGGTATTATGCTAAGCGAAATAACTAATCAGAGAAAGACAATTATCATATGATCTCACTGATATGTGGAATGTAAGAAACAAGGCAGAGGATCATAGGGGAAGAGAGGAAAAAATGAAACAAGATGAAACCAGAGAGGGAGACAACCCATAGGAGACTCTCAATCTTAGGAAACAAACAGGGTTGCTGGAGGCAAGGGGTGGGGGGATGGGGTAATGGGGTGATGGACATTGGAGAGGTATGTGTTGTAATGAGTGCTGGGTATTATATAAGATTGATGAATCACAGACCTGTACCCCTGAAACAAATAATACATTATATGTTAATTAATTGAATTTAAAATGTTTTTAAAAGACTAAAAGAAAAACCCTTTCTCTTTCTCTATGGACAAATATGATCTTGGGTTAACTCTAGCTCTGTTCTTTGGAAACCTGAAAAAGGTAAAGTATGAGCTGTGTGGATTACCAGATTATACTGCTTATGGTAAAAATGGCCTATAATTGGAAATCTTCATCTGCATTGGGAGGGCTATGAATAAATCCTAAACCAAGGGTGACATCTAGAGTTAAAGAAGAGTACTTGTCGTTTTTGGACTCGAATCAATTTGACTTTGATATTGTTTGAAATTTCTCGAATTATACGGGTAATTGTTTAGAGGGTTAGCTGGGGAAAAAATTAAGGTTATATCGTACTTCAAATTTCCCTGAGTGTGGTGATTTTTGTAACTAAGTATGTTCCTTGCTGGGACCCCTGGAAGTTATGCCATGGGACTACTAGAAGAAATCTAAGTTTCTATTTGAGACATGAGCATCTAAACCAGGCTAGCCCCCGTGCTCACTCATGTGATCCCATTCCCTTGCACCTGTGGTCACCTGGGGAGCAGGATCCAGAGACTAGCCCCTGGATTGAAATATGAACTACTGTGAGGACTCCAGCCGAAGACACACACTTGATACCACCTTGCTGGCACACCGTGTTCTCTGGTCTGTGTCTTTCTATGTAAAACCAATGGCAAGTATGGACTGTTTTAGTCATGTGAGTGTGAGTTGTCTAATTGAGCAAAGGGCAACAAGATGGGTGTTGCAGCATGAGCATGAAACAAGGGCAAGACACATTCCCCAAAATGGATACTCACATGCACATCTGGAATTGGCTTGGTGAAGAGAGAGACGACCACGATGATGATGACAGAAATGACAAAGAGGATGATGGCAAAGTACAGGTAGTGAACACCACAGATAATTGTGGGACAGTTGCTGGGCTGCATGCAGCTCCCAGTTCCATAGGCAAATTCAGCCACCATACGGGATATCCCGATCAGAAATCCTATGATCAGTCCCCAAAAGGCTCCCTGTGAAAGAAAACCCTGGGCTAATTAACACCAAACACACAAAACAGCTGGGCATTCCTGGGGTCAAAGGAATAAATATGAGACAAATGATAGCTTCAAGCCTCCTGAAGCCAGAACGCTGGCGTTCAGAATATGGCTAAGAGTGTGATGTCAGGCCCAAGCCCTCAGAGGGTGTGTTTATCATGTTTCAGTGACATGATTTTACCTGGGTCATAAAACAAGATTCATAATATAATGGGGTAACAGTGTCTAATACCCGGTGTCAAGTATCAACCCAAAGTCTTAATTCCAAAAATTAATTTTTAATTTTAAAAATAATTTTAATCTCCTCCCTGTAGCTACATTAGCCTCCAGATTTAGGCATATTCAGAGGTATTGTAATTACTTGTGAAGTAATTTGTTTTCCTCGAAGACACTGAAAACAAATTGGGTCTTTTGGGGATGGAAGAGAAAGAAATGTTTCCATCAAAATATAAATACTACTTTCTTCATTAGCCCCTTTTATAGATCCAAAGTCACTGTTTTTAATTTGAGAACATAAAATTATACTATGTGTCTTCACATTAAGTTTTGGGTTTGCATATTAGAAATATGGAAAGCCTTTAAGAGACTAAAAATACTGGGGTACAATTTTTCAGGGCTTTTTTAACCCCTCCCTCCCTCCGTCCATTCCTTCCTTCCTTCCTTCCTTCCTTCCTTCCTTCCTTCCTTCCTTCCTTCCTTCCTTCCTTCCCCTCCTTCCTTACTTCCTTCTTGCTTCCTTTTTGGTCAGTCCTCACCTAGAGAACCAGGTCTGAATCTAGAGGCCACATTTTAAAAGGACCAGTGAAAAAGTACAGTGAGCTCATAGAAAGGTGAAAAAAGAGCCTTCCTTTCAAACGTCGATCGTTGAACTTTCCTAGCCATGGGTACCCCTGCACTTTATATGTCATGTGTATTTACATCCTAGGTCTTTGCACAGGTCACTCTCTGTCTGAGAGAGCACAAAGCTCTTCCCTTCCTGGTAACCTTTTTCTAGTTTAAACGTCCCTTCTCATCCTCCCAAGACAGAATTGAGTGGGCGCATCCTCCTCGCTGTGACCGCACCTTAGACACACCTCCATGCCAGTACCAATCCCACTGCTATGGAATCACTCACTCACTTCTCTGTCTCCCCCTCTGAACTGGGAATTTGCCCAGGGAAGAAACCAGGATTTATTCCCTTTGTGTTGCCAGTACCTAGCCCTATGTCTGGCATCTGGAAGTATCTGTTAGAAGATGATAGATGATAGATTAGATAGATAGATAGATAGATAGATAGATAGATAGATAGATAGATAGATAAAAAGATGTTCCTCATTCATTCCCCATACACTTATTCATTCAAAAAATTACTTTTTTTACTTTAGTTTGTATGAATAATATTGATAAAATCTGCTATAAAACTTTCCTTCTCTTTTGGTGTTTTGTGGTTTTTTCTTTTTTTTTCTTCTTTTTTTAAATTTAAATTCAATTAGCGGGACGCCTGGGTGGCTGTCAGTTAAGCATCTGCCTTTGGCTCAGGTCATGATCCAGGGGTCCTGGGATCAAGTCCCACATCGGGCTCCTTGCTCAGCAGGGAGCCTGCCTCTCCCTCTGCCTGCTCTGTCTGCCACTCTGCCTACTTGTGCTCTCTCTCTCCCTGACAAATAAATAAATAAAACCTTTAAATAAATAAATAAATAAATTCAATTAACCAACACATAGCCCTTCTCTTTTGGCAATTAGCCTACTCTTCTTGTTCCTTTAATCTTATTCTCAAGAGGCTCTTGAAAAATCTGGGAAATTTTGACATTTTCCTCAAGCCTTAGAGTCACCCCTCATCAAACACAATCCCTGGCCAGTCCTGAGAATCACTTTGCAGTCTCTAAGTGCTACTCTCCAGAGACTCTAGCAAGGGCTTCTCACCCTCAGCACTGTGACATTTGGGCTGGACAATTCTTTTGGGGATGGGCTTGGGGGGAGCTGTCTTGTGCACTGAAGAATGTTCAGCAGCATCCCTGGCCTCCGCCCACTAGATCCTAGTAGCATTTTCTGAATCAAAGCAATCAAAAATGTTGCCAGACATTGCCAAAAGTCCCTTGGGGGAAGGGCAAAATCACTCGCAATTGAGAACCACTCTATCCCAATTCTTAGCCTTATTTTTTGAATGCCACAGTCCTTTGTTGAATCGAATCTGTTTTTAAAGATTTTTTTTCAATTTATTTATTTGACAGAGAGAGAGACAGCGAGAGAGGGGACACAAGCAGGGGAGTGGGAGAGGGAGAAACAGGCTTCCCGCTGAGCAGGGAGCCCGATGCTGGACTCGATCCCAGGACCCCAAGATCATGACCTGAGCCGAAGGCAGATGCTTAACAACTGAGCTACCCAGGCACCCCGAACTGAATCTGTTTTTAGTCCACAGCAATACCCAGCTGGGCTTCTAGCCACACTTTACTAAGTTTTACCTTAGAAATATCTCAGCTTCTGCTAATCTCTATTGAAATATGTCCTAAGAGTGCACCCATTTCTCTAACCTGTCATGATCACTTGCAGGTTTAATTCTGACCTCTCAAGGGTATTTATCTGTGCATGCGGTTTTGTGTTACCAGCAAATCTGGACTATGTTCCTAACAGCAAATGTTGAATGAAGAGAAACACATGTAATTTTGCACTTCAAAGCTGGGTCATTCCAGTGAGGTATTTCCCAAGCGTATTTTTGTTTTTGTCCTACTGGGAGAAAGGGGTTATCTCTAACCAAAAATATGTCATCATTTATACTGCTTCAGACAATAAGCTACATAGTCAGCACCCCCACTCCATCCCAGCCTTCCCTGGGTGTGTAGATGGTTTGATACAGAGCCAGGTGAGCAACACCCCAGTCAGAAGGCATATCCAAAGGCATCCTTTTCATGGTGGCTTAAAACCTTTAACAGCACCCCAATGAAAACCCAAACTCTTTAGCATGGTTTTCAAAGGAGCCATTCCTAATTTAACTTTAACCTGCCTTTCTAGCATATCTTCCATTATCCATACACACAAACTCCCTCTTGAGCCAGGTGAGATGCCTTACAAGCCCCTCACCCTTACCCTTATCCTTGCACTTCTGCCTCCAAGTTCTGGTGCTGTTCTCTCTGCTTTGAATACCCTCTCTTCCCTCTCAGTTTCAGCCTCTGCTGATATAGCCTTTCTGTGAATCCCTTCTCATGTTCTGTGCCACTCAATTATGATCTACTTTATGTTGTTTTGCATATAAACTGCTTGAGCCCTAGGACTTCATCCTTCACTGGGCCTTGAGAAGTGCTGGCCAGAAACCCAAGCACACTGCAGAACCACTAGAGGGAGCCTGTGCTAGGACTTCCTCCGGAGGGGCTGGCCCAGGGGTTACAAACTTCCGGGCTAGTGCCATGTTATCAGGTCAAAATCACCCAGATTGGATGGAAAATGTACATCATTAGTTGAGAATGAGTTTGGAACCTGTAGTAAAGAGGACAGGGAAATCCAAAAGAACGTGAACCCGGGAGAGTCTCTGAAGGCTTTCCCATACAAACCTTCAGTGGCACATGTATTCCCGCTTGAGATCTCTGGGAAACAGAATCCCTTCCATGAAGACTATGCAGCTCCAGGTGGGAATTTCTGTGTCAGAATGGCTTTTCAGGACATGCATAAATGATACCTACCGGCTCAGTGACTCTCTTCCAGAAAATAGCAAGCAGGAAGACAGCTGATATGGGTGGTCCCAAGTAACTGGTAATGGACTGGATGTAATCGAAGAGCTGCCCACTTTGTGCTGACTGCACAATGGGCACCCAGGCAATGCTGATGGCTATCAGCACCAGGATGAACAACCTGAAATCAAAGCCCCCCAGTACAGTGTCAATAAACGGCTCTATATGAATAAATATATATTACTATGTATCAGATGTGTTTGTGTGTGTATATATATATAACTAGCAAATACATATGCACATAAATGTATATATTTATGTGTGTGCATAATTTCATTTATTATAATTATATATACATGTTGTATGTGTGTGTAATATGACCACAACAAGGAAAAATAATTAGCAAATTCATTCTTGAGGGTTTTTTTTCCTCTGTATTCTGCCTCTTTGAGAAAGTCATCTGTGCCTGTGAATAAGTGAAATGCACTTAACTAACCTAAACCAGTCACTGCCATAAGAGAATCACACTTTGACAAGTAGCAGAGTGTAGGAACAAAGGTATGGATTTGGGAGCCAAGCAGTCCTGGATTCAAATCTTTCTTTTCTCTATGAGACATAGGACACCTTGCTTAACCTCTCTGAGTCTCAATTTCTCCATATGCAAATTGGGAATAATATGACTGACCTTGCAATTTTGGAATAAGGATCAGCTATAGCAAAACACCTAGCAAACAGTAGGTACTCAATAAATAGTAAAGGCCATAATTTTTATTTTCTTCTCCTCCTCCTCCTTCTCCTCTTCATTTCATAAAGTGAAAACTACAGCCAAAAAGAGTTTATAAAGGAACAGTCTAGTTAGAAAGGGACACTACCAAGTATGTCCAGCTCTCCTCTTGAATTTTACTTCAAGTTTTGAAGAGATTGGAGGGTTCCCTTACAAGCTCCTCTTACTTGTGCTCTTGATTTAATTAGAAAGAAGGCTATGATTCCCTTACCTCACTTACATGAATTTAAGGCAAAAGAGTCTTAAACTAACCTTTGCAAAGCAGTGTTTTCACTCATATATTTCTCTCTCTGGAATGCCCTTCCCACTACCCCCCATTTACCCAAATCCTACCCAAAATTTTGGCCTCAGCTCAGGCTTCCCTCTTCCAGGAGCTTCCCCAACTACTGCATGCCATATTCACCTCTCGTTTCTTTGACTCCTTGATTGCTCCTACAGTCCCCATAGCAAAGTTTGGGATTGTCTCCTGTAAGCTCATCTAGGGCAGGGATAAGCTCCAGGGCAGCAGTCATGGGATGCAAAAAAGTGTGAGCCCCAACAACCTCAGAGCCAAGGGGCCAGCCCTGAGCAAAGCAACAAAATGGTTCTCTTTTCATGTTGCATCTCGAGCCTTATAGATAACAGGGCGGGTGGGAAACAGTAAAGTCCTTTCTAAGGAAAAAAACAGTCAGGGTGATGGTGTTGCTTTCTGTGAAGCAAAGTCGTAGACTTGGGCCTGGTCAGATCTCCCCTGGGTGCCAGGTGGCTCATCACCTGACAATGGCCTGTCATTTTCCCTTTCCTTCCTTTGCCCAAATCTTATTGATGAGACCTATGAGGTGGCAGTCCATACCCCTCCTGCACTCGTTGTGAAATTTCTCTTGACTGACATCACAGGGACTTGATCCCCCTGCTCTGAGGAAGTTGACCTGCCATAGCCCCACAAAGAGACAGAGTAGAGTTTTAGTTAGTCCTCTATCCAAAGCATCTGTTCTATGGATAGTCAAGATTATGAGCACCTCTGACCCATGTATCAACCCTTCCGGCTTTCAGTATCCTGTTGTGTCCATTATCCCATTTGGCAATAACAAATGTATGTATAGCATGGTGTTTTAGACTTTACAGAGCATGTTCCCAAGCACAGTATCACTTGATCCTCACAATGGTCATGCAAAATGTTGTAGCAAAGGGTCAAGGCATCAGAGGCATCTGGGCCATGAAGATGGCCCATGTGAAGACCTACAGTGTCGAGGGCTGAGGAGGCCCACATGGGGCAGTATAAAGGGCCTTGGACAAGGACTCACTTGGCCTGATTTCCAGTCCTGGTTCTGCCACTGTCCAGACTACCTGGATTTAGGCAAGATGAGCCTCCTTTTGGGTGCCTGGGTGGCTCAGTCGGTTAAGCATCTGCCTTCAGCTCAGGTCATGATCCCAGAGTCCTGGGATCGAGCCCTACATCGGGCTCCCTGCTTCGTGAGGAGTCTGCTTCTCCCTCTGCCTCCCTCTCTCTCTCTCTCTCATGAATAAATAAAGAAAATCTTAAGAAAAAAAAAAAAGACAAGCCTCCTTTTGCTTGTTGATAAACTGAGGGTTAGATTAGATGATTTCTGATGTCATATCTTACTCCAGACAGGCATTGTTTGATGATCTTCAATTTGAAGTTAAATGCCACTGAAGTGCAAATATAACTAGCCACAGAGGTTACTCCCATTCTAACCAAGCATCTACCAGTCTTCTCTACCTTGAGGGGTAGCACAGATCATTCAGTCTTTTATGATCGGTGGCAAGGAGAAGCTGCACTTACCTTCCTGCAATCATGAGCTCTTTCTCAGATGCTCCCTTCCGGATCTTGGTATAGATGTCCATGGTGAAGAGGGTGCTGGCGCTATTGAAAATGGAGGTTAAGGAGCTCATGAGAGAGGCCAACATGACTGACAGCATCAGGCCTCGCAGTCCTGAAAGAGAAGGAGATTCTGAGTGGCACACACAGCAACTCAGCTCTTTTGGGGTTTTTTGGGGCTTTTGGGGGGGGTTTTCTGTTTGTTTTTTTGTTTGTTTTTCTTTTTTTAAGATTTTTTTTTTTTTTTTTTATTCATGAGAGACACAGAGAGAGAGAGAGAGGCAGAGGGAGAAGCAGGCTCCCAAGGAGCAGGGAGCCCAATGCGGGACTCTATCCCAGGACCCTGGGACCATGACCTGAGCCGAAGGCAGACGCTTAACCATCTGAGCCACCCAGGCGCCCCTTTTGTACTTAGAAATTGTGAGAACTCAAGCTTTGTTTGCCTTCTGAAACCATGCCATGTTCTCCAACTTGTCTCTCCATAAAGACTAGATATTATATTGTAAGCCCAAAGCAGTCAACAGAGAGATAAGGACAAAATATATATAAGGTAAATACTTTGCAACTGAATGATGATGATGATGGTGGTAATGATGGTTAATGGTGATGGTGGTGATGATGTGTGTGTGAGTCCATCTAAAAGGAGTTTTATAAGGTCTTTTACTTAAAAATTCGTGGTATAGCAGAAAGATTAAAAGTAGGATTCAAAAGATGAGGTTCTCAAGAAAGTAAAAATTCCATAGAATGGAAGGAAATACTTGCAATTCATATATCTAATAAGGGTCTAGTATGCAGAATATATAAAGAACATGTATAACTGAATAATAAAAAAGACAAATAATCCAATTAAAATGGGTAAAGAACTTGAATAGAAACTTCTCCAAAGAAGATAAACAAGTGGCTAATAATCACATGAAAAGATGCTCAACATCAGGGAGATTCAAACCAAAACTACAATAAAATACTACTTTGTACCCACTAGGGTGGCTATAATAAAAAAGAAGGAAGGAAGGAACGGAAGGAAGGAAGGAAGGAAGAGAGGGAGGGAGGGAGGGAGGGAGGGAGGGAGAGAGATAGAGAGAGAGAGAGAGAAGGAAAGAAAGAAAGAAAGAAAGAAAGAAAGAAAGAAGGAAGGAAGGAAGGAAAGAAAGAAAGAAAGAAAGAAAGAAAGAAAGAAAGAAAGAAGGAACATAACAACAAGTGTGGGTGGAGATGTGGAGAAATAGGAACCCTCATACATTGTTGGCAGTAATGTAAAAGGGCACAGTCACTGTGGCAAATGGTCTAGCAGTTTCTCAAGTTAAACATGCAATTACCATATGATTATTAATTTCACTTCTAGGTATCTGCTCAAAAGAAATAGAAACATGTGTCCACATAAAAACTTGAACATGAGGGGCCCCTGGGTGGCTCAGTCGGTTGAGTGTCTGACTCTTGATTTCAGCTCAGGTGATGATCTCAGGGTCATGAGACTGAGTCCCAAATTGGGCTCCATGCTCAGTGGCAAGTCTGCTTAAGATTTTCTCTCTCCTTCTTCCTCTGCCCCTCCCCCACTCTCTCTCCCTCTAAAATAATCTTTAAAAAAAACCTCAAACATGAATGTTCATAGTAGTATTATTTATAATAGCTGAAATAACACATGTCCATCAACTGATAAATGGATAAACAAAGTGTGATACACCCATGCAATGGACTATCATTTATCAGTAAAAAAGAATGAAGTACTAATGCATGCTACAATGTGGATAAACCTTGAAAACGTTCTGCTAAGTAAAAGAAGCCAGACACAAAGTACAACTATTGTATAATCTCATTTATGTTAAATGCTCAGAGCAAGCAAATCCATAGGGACAGGGAATAGATCAATGGTTGCCTAGGGCTAAGGGGGTTGGGTAAAATGTGGGATGACTGTTAATGGGTACAGGATTTCTTTTGGAGATGATAAAAATTTTCTAAAACTATGGTGATGGTTGCACACCTCTGAATATACTAACATACCATTGAATTGCATGCCTTAAGTGATAAATCATATGTATGTGAATTATAGCTCAATAAAGTTGTCACTGAAAAACAAAAGACAAGGCTGTGTTTCCAAACTCCGACCCTAAGCAAGTTATGCTAACCTCTAGGCCTCATCTCTTGGTGTGTTGAATGGGGATAATACTACACCTGCCCAAATCAGAATAAGGGATTGTCCTTTTAAAATTTCTCCCAATCAGGGGCGCCTTGGTGGCTCAGATGGTTAAGTGTGTCTGCGTTTGGCTCAGGTCATGATCCCAGGGTCCTGGGATCAAGCCCCGCATTGGGCTCCCTGCTTGGCAGGGAGCCTGCTTCTCCCTCTCTTTCTACTGCTCCCCCTGCTTGTGCTCTCTCACTCTCCCTGTCAAATAAATAAATAAAATCTAAATAAATAAATAAATAAAATTTCTCCCAATCATGGCCAGCATGGTTGGCTATAATCTCTATCACTACTTCCATACCAAGGACAGCATAAAGTTGTCCCTGCTAGGCTGGAAGGCCAGGTTATGCTGAGGGGCCACCATAGAGAGTACAGTCTTAGAAGTAAAAGTAACCTTAGTTGTCACCTAGGCTTACCAACCATTGGTAGAATCCCTTCTTCTGCCCAAATTCTCCAGCAACAGGAAATCCACAACTGCACAGGGGGTCTGCTCCCTCTTGGACAATCCTAACTAGGCTGATATCTGCCTCTTTATAGCCTCAGACACAGTCCGTAAGCTACCCAACAGAAGAGGTCTCACTGTTCACCTACTTTACCATTTTTCATATATTCAAAGATAATTCATGACCTCTTGAACTCTCTCTTCTCCACACTAAAGATCCTCAGTTTCTTACAATATTCTTTATAATTGGGCTTGGGGGGCCCAAATATACAGAACTTGACATATTACCTCTATTAAACTTGAGCTTATTAGATTTGAGTCAACATTCCTGCCTGTTGAGATCTTTTTGGTACATGATTCTATCATTCCTCTAGGTTTTGTATCTGCAAATAATTTTAGTTTTGTTTTCATCTTGCAAGAAGAAAAATAAAGGCTGCCAGCTTCAATTATTTTGTCATTTGTTTTGGGAGGTTTTTTTTTAAGATTTTATTTATTTATTAGAGAGACAGAGCAGAAGCAGTGGGAGTGGCAGGCAGGGAGAGAGAGAAGCAGGACCCTGGGATCATGACCTGAGCCAAAGGCAGATGCTTAACCAACTAAGCCACCCAGGTGCCCCTTTTGGGAGTTTTTTAATGGTTCCTCCTGAGCTTGTACCACATAAACCACAGGAGTTACAAAGATCCTCTAGTCCAATTCCCTCACTTTTCAGTTGACAAAACAAAGGTCCACTTCAAGGAGTTAGTAGGTAGGGCTTCGAGCCCTAGCTCTGCCATTTGTTCAGGGTTACTTTAGTTAATTGTAAAGCTGGGATAAAGCTCTCCCCTCTGTACTACACTCTTATCAAACTCTCTTATTCACTCAATAAATATTTATTGAACATAATTTTACGGTGGCTCTAGCAAGAAATAACGGTATATCAATGCAGGGTGATAGAGGTAAAAAATAGAAAGAGATAGATGAATATAAGAGATATTTAGGAGACAAAATGGACAGAATTTAGTGACAGATTGGTGGGGCAACATTTACCGACCAAGTGGAAGAGGCTGCATCTTCAAATGAGACAAAAAGGAGCAGCCTAAAGGATGGAGATAAAACAGACAAATAGGAGAGTATAATATAATGGAATCCAAGAGAAGAGATAACGGAAGAAAGATGAGTGATCAATAAAGCTGAATGCTACTGAGGGGTCAAGTAAGATAAGGAATGGAAAATATCTATTTAATCTAGCACAGGGAGTCATTGGAAAATTCAGTGTTTACAGAAGCCAGATTCTAGCTGAAGATGAGGGAATGGTAATGGTACATGTAAACACAGCATTTTGTTGTCTTGTAAGTCATGCATTTTCCTGTCATGTACAGTTCACTCCAGCACAGTGTTCAGAACTACAGTCTCACCCACAATCTGCCCTTCTAAAGAAACAACATAAACAGGGGCACTTGGATGGTTCTGGAGCATGCGACTCTTGATCTCAGGGTTGTGAGTTCAAGCCCCACATTTGGTGTAGAGATTACTTTAAAAAAAATTTTTTTTAGGGGAAAACCTGGGTGGCTCAGTCAGTTGATTTCTTAGTTTTGTCTCAGGTCATGATCTCAGGGTCCTGGGATCGAGCCCCGCGTCAGGCTCCACTCTCAGCAGGGAGTCTGCTTCAAGATTCTCTCCCTCCCCCTACTCACTCATGCCCTCTCTCTCTCTCTAAAATAAATATGTAGGGACTCCTGGGTGGCTCAGTCAGTTAAGCATCTGCCTTCAGCTCAGGTCATGATCCCAGGGTCCTGGGATTGAGTCCCACATCGCGGGGGGGGGGGTCCTTGCTCAGCAGGGAGCCTGCTTCTCCCTCTGCCTGCTGTTCCCCCTGCTTGTGCTCTCTCTTTCTCTCTCTGACAAATAAATAAATCATTTTTAGAATAAAAAATAAAAAAAGTAAATCATTTCAAAAATGTTTTAAATCTTAAAAAAAGAGAAAGAGGAATAACATAAACACCCCCACATAGTTCAGTGTAATCCAAACCAGAACTCTAAAAGAACCAGCCATGTGACTCTTCTAATTGCAACCTTAATTAATAAGCAGCCCGGTTCAGTGGAATAGTTAACAATTACCCCCATTTTTATAGAATTTGAATGCAAATGGTTTGCCCAAGGTCACACATCCAGTTTGTGGTTTAAAAAAAAAAAAAAATTCTTCAATTCCAGCCTTGAGCACAGTTAAGCAAGCCAGACACTGAGCTGCTGTGTGGCCTTGGAAAAAAATCATTTTCCTTCTGTAGGTCTCAGTTTCCCTAACTATAAAATGAAGAGGTTTGACTAGATAGTCTCTAGGTTTCCTCTCAGTAATAAAATTTTATAAGTTTATTATAAATTTTCCTGATCAATACCTTTGAATTTTTAGCCTCCTGAGACCCCCTAACCTAATGAGGTTTGCATCCCTTGATCCAGAATTAGAGATTTTTCTTCGACATGAAACATAAACAGTAGCCCTACAGGTCCAACCCAAAACTAACTATTCTAGACTCCAAGTACTCAATCACCTAGGATAACACATTCTCTTTAGTGAGAAGCCCCCTTGTGGCCCATCCATCTACTGCCTCAAACTTCCTCATTCAATAGCTAAAACTGTTCTGCCCTTCCTCCTTGGAATATCAATTCATTCTCAAGGAAAAACTCCACTTAGTTTAAGCTTTCATGTTAATGTCTGTTGGGAGCTCCAAAAGATCTTCTAGATGAGCATGGAAAAGTTGTTTTTTTCACTAGCACATTTTCAGATCACCTCTTTTCCACAACAGACTGATGAACACATGCTAGATCTCATAGAGCTCAACCAAGTCATATGTCTCCTTTCCACTGAAGGAAGACATGTTCAAAAACTGAGGACACCCAGAGGGAAGCCTTCCCTACTGGGCCCCCAGGCTCAGAAATGGCTTTTCCCCAGAAGGCCACAGAAATCTACATAAAGTGGAAGCCAAATCAGCCTCCAAAGAAAGGCTTTGCCAGCAAGATGACTCTCACCATTGGGCATGAGCTCCACCACCAAGGTCGGGTAAGCAATGTTGGTACAGCCAACCTCAGTACCGCAATATTTCTTACATTCCGAGGGGACAGTGCAGGCAATTTTTTCTGAGGAAAGATGAAGAGCCATGTCAGCAAGCAGACATCGGGGAAACATTTCCAAGATTCACTTCCCTTTTTTTATTTAAATTCAATTAGCCAACATATAGTATATCATTAGTTTTTGAGGTAGTGTTCAGTGATTCATTAATTGTGTATAACACCCAGTGCTCATCAGATCACGTGCCCTCCCCAATGACCATCACCCAGACCCCATCCCCCCACCCCCTCCCTTCCACAACCCTCAGTTTGTTTCCCGGAGTCCGGAGCGTCTCATAGTTTGTGTCCTTCTCTGATTTCTTCCCATTCAGGTGTCCCTCCCTTCCCCTATGGTCCTCTGCCCTATTCCCAAATTCCACATATGAGTAAAACCATATGATAATTGTCTTTTTCTGATTAACTAATTTTAATTGCACCAAAAACTATAAGATACCTAGGAATAAACCTAACGAAAGAGGTAAAGGATCTGTACTCTAGAAACTACAGAACCTTATGAAAGAAATTGAGGAAGACACAATGAGATGGAAAAACATTCCATGCTCCTGGATTAGAAGAATAAACATTGTTAAAATGTCTATGTTGCCCAGAGCAATCTACACATTCAATGCAATCCCTATCAAAATACCATTGACATTTTTCACAGAACTGAAACAAATAATCCTAAAATTTGTATGGAACAAGATTCACTTTCTTAAAATAAGGCTTCAAACAGGACATTCCTGCCCAAGGCCCTGAATTGGTTCCACAGAGAGTGCAGCTCCAAGCTGAGCCCTTCCATGCCATGCCCCTGCCGTGCTGGTATGACCATCTCCAAGATCTGACTGGGAAGAAAAAGATTCTTAGGCAGAGGAGTGGGGGAAGCAAAGCAATGCTCAGGGTGGGAAGAGAAGGGGCACAGTCTTTAGACTTTAGCTAGGCCTCCCTACAGCTTAGCACTGACTACTGTCTTGTTTCTCCTGAAGATCATAGTGACTTGTGGATCCTAATTTTGAGGTTTATTTGAAGCAGCTTTTTTGCAAGTAGGATTGAACACCCAGATGACTGAGGGAACTCCCCAGTGGGAGGGCTATTGGGTAGTACTTCCAAAATGTGAAAAATCTGGGGTAGAGAAAGACAAGAAGTAGCCTGGGAGAGGAAGGGGAAATGATCTAAAGACTTGGACAAAATTCCAGTAACTTCTTTAGAATTAAACCAACAAACATTTATTGGGTACCTACTACAGATATATCATTTAGTGCTGCTCCTTAGAGTGCTGATTCATTATAGCACTATCTCAAATACTTTTATGTGTGTTATACCCATTAGAATATAAATTATTCAGTTAGGAATATTTTTCTCATGACAGGTGAGCCAGCATAGGAGTGTAAAAGACCTAATAGGAATGCTAATAACAGCCAATGGCAGCAAGTGCCTCCAGACTGTCTTGTCTTCATTTTAGGAGCTCACCAAAGTTTCACTGCCTGGTGCTCTCTTTTTTGCCATTATTTCATATTCCAGGAAACAGTTTTGACCTATGATGGCTGATCGAAAAAAATGCAATGCTGGAGAAGTCACAAAAGGGTCAAAAAGACCCTATTACCCTAGATAGCAAAGTACAAGGCTCAGGGCTCTTCAAAGAAATGGCCCAAGAAACAGGGCTCCGAGCATCAAGCAATTAGAGACTGGCCAGGGTCCTTTGACATTAAATTTTACACACTGAGGAAGGAAGACTGAGCAAAATGCTAGCAAATATTAGTTGGAAGGAGCTACAGCTGGAAGTGTATCATGACTTCAGAGAATTTACAAAAGGGGAGAAAGTAATTGTCATTGTAAGGAACCAGGGAAGACAACCCCACAGGTTCTGTGACCTCAAGTTGTTCACTATGTAAAGGGGGAACAATAATGCTTGGTAATTGTGGCAAGAAAAAAAAAAAGAGGAAGAGCAGGGAGCTATAGGGCTTTAGAAGTGACACAGAGCCAGAAAAGTGGGAGAGAGTGGCTACTGAGTCCAGCAAAACGGATCACCTGTGTACAGGATGCGGCTGATCATTCCTGGCATCACCATGAGGAACATGGGCAGCAGCTTCATGTACCCACACAGGATACAGCCGGCCTTCACATGAGACATGTTTTTGGCTGAGAGGCAGCGTTGCACAATGACCTGCCGGGGAAAGCCAGTAAGAGAGGGGTGCAGGCCAGAGACCTCTCAACGCCCTCTGGCTACCCTCAGCTCCCCTCCCACATGTTCTTGGTTCTTGGCCTGTGACCCCCTTGTCACTAAGGCTTAGTGACCCCAGACCATATGAGCTCAACCCTACCGTACCTAACACCACAAGCCGTAGACAGACAGGAGTCCCTGTAGAGACGTGGGGAATACCCCATCAACCCCACACATCCAGCATGGGTACCTGATCTGTGCACCAGTACCACAGGGAAAGGATGGACAACCCAAAGATGACCCCAGGCCATGGCAGGTCTCCTTTGAGGGGATCTCGGAAGATGTGAAAAGAGTCAGCTCTTGGTGTATAGCAGTCTTTGTTGATGGTGATGTTTCCATCAGTAATCACAGTTGGAATGGCGTTCATGTACTCTGTCATGAAGGCATCATACCCTCCCACTTTGCGGAAAGCTGGAAAACATCAGCAACAAACATCCTAAAACTCTCAACTCTTCATTCGGGTTTCCTCCTGTGGATGCCTGAGAAACCACCCTCACTGTGTGGTCTTGGGAAAGTCCCTTCCCTCTTCTGGGTCTCAGCTCTCTCATCCATAGAATGGGATTATTAACCCTGCCTAGCCTCCTGGGGTGGGGGGGCTCCTGTGAGGGTCTAAACCAATAACCTGTGAAAGTATTTTAACCATAAACCTTTTTAAAAAGGGAAAGTACTTGGGCGCCTGGGTGGCTCAGTTGGTTAAGCAACTGCCTTCGGCTCAGGTCATGATCCTGGAGTCCCGGGATTGAGTCCCACATCGGGC